GCTTCCAGACCTTCGCGGGGGGCCAGGGAGGCCCAGACTCACCCAGTGCGCGGGGCTGAACCGCTTCATGACCACTGCAGGCCCGAAGGAGCGGGCTGGGTTCATGGAGCAGCCGGTGAAATAGATCTGGACAGAGAGGAAGGGGTGAGGAAGGCAACCCACCTGTCCTCTCCCAGAGCACCCCGGATTCTCCCAGGGTCACCTAGCAGCCCAGGGACTCAGCCAGGTCTCAGTTCAAGTCTTCTGGTTCCCGGGCGGTGACCTCTCTCGCCACGGGCCCCTTGGTGGCCTTCTCCTCTGTCCTGAGCTTGGACTCCATTTCCTGCTCTATCCTCCTCCCACATACACCTATCTTCCCTATGAAGGTTTGTGGGACTCAGGCCTCCCCAGTGGCCCAGGGATTAAGTCTCAGTGTTATCACCCCGAGGCCTGAATTTGATCCCCCGCCAGGGAGCTGACCCACATGGTGCAGCAGACCTCTCCTGTCCAATCTGCTGCTCCCCTCGGCAGCGGATTTCAGTTGATCCACCGGTTCTGCTCCCCACTGTCTCTGGTGAATCCTTTTGAAGCCCCTACCCAGTTCTACCCAAAATAAATAAAGGCCTGCACTCCAGTTCTACCCAAAATAAATAAAGAAGGTTTGGGGTGCTGCATTCTGGCCAGAATATAACAGTCCTACTCTAGACCTTACTGTGGGGTTCACTGGCCTGGAGCGAGGTACTTCTGGGGCTCCCATTATTTGCCCTGAGGGTTTCCCGGGATCCCAGCTGGATGGCACACCACTCACCCCCACAAGGTGGCCCAGTGTGACGGACAGGCCGATGGACAGGGCGGGGGAGCCCACAGGGCCGGCGCGGCGGGAGTCGGTGGAGGAGAAGATGCAGAGTGCCAGCTGGAAGGTCAGAATCAGCTCCACCACCACCGCCTGCCCCGGCGTCGTGTTGTTATTGAGCTGCAAGCAGACGCTGGGCTAGGACCCCTGCCTTCTGGCTCTGTGTCCAGGGACCTGGGGGATGTGGCTGTGGCCTCCAAGGACACTGAGAACCTGAGCATCTGGCAGCTAAGCCCTGCGCACGTCACGCCAGGGGCCACTTGCCAGAGACTGCACGGTGTGCACAGAGCCTGGGGCTCAGGCCTGGGGTGGGAGGTCAGCGCGCGGAGAGCTGCTCCTGGACACAGTCCTGTCAACAGTACC